ACGTCTAGAAGAGGAAAAGCCGGCCACAGTGGACACGAAACCTGCCGCGGCACAACAAGAAGAGGTTCCCATAGTAATACCGGTCGGAGCGACGATAGCCTGCCTAGTAATGGAGGCACACCAAGAAGAAGATCTGGCCTCAGCGAACAGGAAACCTGAGGTGGCAGAATTACAAGAGGTACCCGTACAAGACGCCGAAGTAATGCCGGTCGGAGAACCGAAGAAGAAAAGGCGCAGGGACCGACATCGACGAAACATGAAGAATCCGACTCGGGGAAGTCGTGGACCCCAGATGAAGTTGGCCGTCGTCCACAGGAAGGTGTCCCGCCGCGCAACAGTGGCATGGCGCAAACGCCATATCTTCAAGAAATCTACGACCCAAGGAAATTGTGGCCCATGGCACGAATTGGCTGCCGACAGCAATGTGACTAGTCGTGCAGGTGCGACACGGCGCAAGGGAGATCCCGTAAGGAGATGCTCAACGAGGGTCAATGCTGGGCAAGAAGCTGGGAAAGGAAGGACTGGAACCGTGACAGGACAGACGTCCGGGAGGCGGCGTCAGCCACAACGGAAATGCAGCAAGGGCATAAGGAAACAGGACGTGGAGGAACTACTACGCCTGAGGGAGAAGACCGGCAACGTGATCTTCAGTGGAAGGTTCGCGACACAAGTAGTCGGTACTGCCAATGGGTTACGGAGGATAAGGAAGTGGACCTTGTGGAGGGGTCGACCTCCACCAAAACGAAAGAAGGAGGAGGGCACAGAAGAGGAGCCGGTAAAATAGAAGAACCGGCCTCCCCATTGAGAGTGAATGTGCCATAGAATGAAAGTGATGGATGAATGTGATCTTCTGGCGAGCTGAAAGGAAACCGCTCGAGACGAGCTTTGTCTTAAGAGGGGAGCGGATGTACCGGACGAAGAATAGTCGCTGCAAGAAGAGTAGCCGCAACAACAGGAGATGCTGCAAGAACAGCCACCGAGGAAAAGGAACGGGGATGCACCGTTAGGCTATTCGGGACGAACAGCCTTAAGGAGGGAGCAGTGTGACGTGCTGAGCTATGGATGACCCCCCCCCCCCCCCGCCAGCCGTGATGCGCCGAGCGAAGCCGAAGCGAGCCGATGTTAGCCGAGTCCTAGCATCCTGGTCGCTAGGCAACGCAAGTCAACAGCGGTGACGTCACCAAGTAGTAACAGCGGTTACCTCCGCTAGCGTTACATAGCAACACAGCGACATAGCAACAAGGGTGCCTATTACGTGGCCGTTTTCCCGTATTGTCCGATCGAGGCTACATACGGAGCAGCGAAGGCTATTCACAGTTGAGTTGTACTGAGTTGTACTGAAAGAGTCAGTCAGTCCTGGAGCTACCGCCGAGTTAGCCAGCAACCAGTCAGTTGTATTCTGGCATTGGGAGTGTACTAATTGTGATACTGCAGATAGCAGTAATCGTAAAACTGTAATTTGGGTGATTGTATGAGCGAATGTGAAATAAAATTCGCTATACCAAATACATCGTGAAGTTATTTGTCGCGATATACGCCCGATACGCGACAATATGAACAGCTTTAAAGGAAACAAAAGGAGAAAATAAAAATTCACCTAGTTTATGCCTGGAAAATATTTTAGAATGAAATAACTGATATAATTCACATTATTTAAGCTGAGAAACATTTTTATGCTGTATGAAGAAGTGGAAAATGACAAACTTTTTATAATTCTGTTACTTTGTACAGAAATAATTCAAATACAAATGTTTTTGTTATTTGTGTTTCATTTGAGCACAATTCTTCATTGTCATCAGATATACACTGTACACCTGCCATCTCATACATACATACATACATACATACATACCGGATGTGGAATTTGTCAAAAATCATACAATACATATATACATGCACAATTAAATTTCACATAAATAGTAAGGATTTCACAAAAGTAGTAAAATATCCATCATAAATCCATACATTAACATATACTAGATTTTTTTTTT